TTATAGGGATTCTTTTGGTCACAGTGTACTTGTTTCACTTGCTTTGGAAGTTCTCAGATTAAGTTACTCCAGCCCTGTTACATGGAACAGATCTTTGGTGAAATCTCCCAGCTGCTCCTCCAGGAATGGAGGAATGGATCCAAGGCAGTGTCTCTTGAGAAATCTGCCACAGCTTTGATTTGTCAGATTAGGTTGTAGTCATCTCCAGGGTGGCAGATGTCTTGACAGATACCTTCAGGTTGAGAAAGATGCTGACCTATGTAATGGTTAATTTTATGTATCAACTTGAATATGCCATGGGGTGGCCAGATTAAACATTATTAATAGACATGTCTGAGAAAGTGTTTCTGGATGAGATTAGCATTTGAATCTGTGGACTCAGTAAAGTAGACTGTCCTACTCAATGTGGGTGAGCCTCAGCCAATCTTTTGAGGATCTGAATGGAATAAAAAGAGAGGTGAGAGGAATTGACCCCTTTTGCTTGTTGCTGCTTGCTTAATTTGGGACATGAGTCTTTTCCTGCCCTTGGACTGGGATTTAGCCTTTGGACTTGGGCTGGAATGACACCACTGGCTTTCCTAATCTCTTGCAGATTGTGGGACCTCTCAACCCCCATAATCACATGAGTTATTCCTTATAAGTCTCTTCATTTGGTACACAGTAATGCCCCTTGACAGTTGATCTGATAACCAAGAAAGCTACTAAGGGACAAACAGGCAACATAGACAGTGTGGATACTCTAAGTGGAGTAATGGTTCACATCCCAGGCAGGACAAAGGAGGATGGCACAGGAGTTCATCATACTTTTCAGAACGACATGCAATTTGAAAGAGCGTAGGAATGGAAATTTGGGCAGAAAAAAATAGAGAGGTAAGACATTTGTGGGACACAGATACAGTTTCTGTGTGATGATGTGTGTATTATTCTCAACTGGACTGGTCTTTGTGTATCGTGCTAGGTTAAGTCTCTTTACAATCTAAATGATGTGTAGTGATTGAATGTATAAAATTAAAAGAATGACATGCAATTTAAAACTTTGTTTATTTCTGTAATTTTCTATTCAGTATTTTTGGACCATAGTGGACCACAGGTAACAGAAAACTGCAGAAAGCAAAACTACGGATAAGGAAGGATTTCTTTCTTTCTTTCTTTCTTTCCATTTATTCATCCATCTAGTTTATCTGTACTATTATATGTAAGCCTAGCATTACTAGTCCCACAGGTATTGGACAGAAAATATAAACTATCTACCTTCTGATATTTCCCAAAAGATAGATGAGGGAGGCAATATTTAGGGAGGTTTCCTTGGAGAAACAGTTACATGATCTGTTCACTCACTGGATAAGTTGGAAATACCCCATTAGCAGAGGAGCTAGGACCTCTGCAGCATCACACTACCCGTCTCGACTCCTCCCTCTTCGCTCATCCTCCTAAACTGCTTTCATGCAGAGCATCGTTATGTGAAACAGGCCTAGGAAACTCACTAGTGTGCCCTCAATAAGACTGCGGTGGGAAACGTGGTTCATTACATCACACTGTGTTTTCTTTATGAGGGCTCCTGGGAACAATTCCTGTCTGGCCTCTGTGTGAACAACAGTTAGAATTTTCCTGAGCAATTGGTTTGTGTTTATCTTACAGACATTGTGAACTGTATATCTGACAAGTTTTCTTTATTCCACTGATGGCCTTGGTGCTGTGGGCTCTGTTTGGGACCCACTGTAGCAGGTAGTAGCAGGTGTGCAGAAATGCCATGCTAGCATTATTATCAGCTCCTGTGTATTCTTTTCCTCCTATCTTGCATTGCCTCACTTTTAATTTATGATATCTTGTCATGTCTTATGTCCCATTGTAAGCTGCCTGAAAAATAGTCTGTTTACACTAAAAAGGAGATAAATAAGATGTGGAAGAGCTCCACACATGTGTTCCTATCTATTTTCTTCAAAACTTCAATTACATTTTGCTTTAACATCCTTCCATTGACAGACCCAAGGTTGAGGGCATGCAACTCAGAATGGAAGCAGTAACAGAATATAATTGGAAAACCCAAATACAGTTGCTGAAAATACTGTGGTAGTCCCGCCTCATCACATGACCCAGTGGAGGCAACACCGTTCCAGTGACAAAGCTTCTTTGGAGCCCGATGACTTTAATACTCATTATAATGAAAAGAGTAAATAACACTACTTAATACTGGGTGACATGCAGAAGTTTATTAAGCTCTCAAGGTCTGCAGGCAGCTCAGGGAAGCAGGAGGGCCAAGTATTACCATTATTTTTATTCTACTGTGCTGCTATGTAGCAAGAACTGTTAGCCCCTAGATGGACTCTTTCTGCCCTGGTAATTTCAAACTGCAGGAAATGGGTGCAAATTCAAGAAGAGAAGTAATAGTGTGAGCTCCCCCGAATGTGCGTAGAGAGATGGCTGGACAAATGAACTCATGAAAATACATTTACCAACATTAGCCATCAAATAAATGAAAATAACCATGACGAGGTAGATGAGGTACCATTATCCACTATTCAAATGGCTGAAATTAAAAATATTTACCATTTTGAGTGTTGGTGAGGATCTGAAGCAAACAGAACTCACACAGACTGCTGGTCAGAATGTGAAAAATGTAAAACCATTTTCTTTTCTTTTAAAATAAGTATTTATTCATTTATTTAATCCCATTTGTTATCATTATTTTTAATTTGACCAGAGAGAGACAGAAAAAGAAGGAGAAAGGGAAAACAAGAAAGCAAACCCACAGGTCCAGGACTTGAAACATGGTTGGGCATGTGGGAGTCCAGCACCCTTAAACACCACACCACCTGGTGGCCCCTGTAAAACCATTTTCAAAAACAGTTTTTTGTTCTCTAAAAAGTTAAATATATGGTGGTCAACAGGTGGTACAGAGATTAAGGCAGCTGGATCCCACATGATCAACTGCATGGTTTGAGTCCCAGACCTGGTGGCTTGAAAACACACCAGATGTTTATGCATGCCTAAAATCCTGAGAGGAGAAGGACCAGCAGTTAGCGTAATGGTTATGTCACTGGACTCCCACGTAGTCGACCATGGTTTGCATCCTGGACCCGGTGGCTTAAAACTCACGCCAGGCGCGTGTGCATGCATGCCCAAGATCCCGAGAGGAGAATGGAAGAGAAGGGATTGCGGTGTGGCCATCCCCCCTGGGGGGTGATTTCTCACTTTCTGTCTCTCTGTCTCTCTATCTGTCTGCCGAGTGCATGCGCCCTATAGCAAAAACCTCTCAAAAAAAAAAAAAAAAACTCCTGAGAGGAGAATGGAGAAGAGACTGTGGAGTGGCCATACCCCTGGGGTGGTGATTTCTTTCCCTCTCCCTCTATCTCTCTCTGTGTCTCTCTCCAGTGAGCACACATGCCCTGTAAGAAAACTAAGCAAATCAACCAAGTTAAATATACATTTTTCAGATGATGCAGCCATTCCATTCCTAGGTATTTGCCTAAGATGAATGAAAGCATATGGCCATACAAAGACCTGCATGACTGCTCATAGTAACTTCTCCAGAATAGCCAGAAGCTGGAAGCAACCCAACAGGCATCCACCAACAGTTTAATTGAAAACAAGTTGTGGAATATACACATAATGGAATATTTTTCAGCAAAAAGTAAATAAGCGATAGGTATGTACAACAACATAGATAAATCTGTATATTTATGCATATCAATAAAGAATATATTCTGCATGATCCCATTTATAGAAAATTCTAGAACACACAAACTCATATAGAGTACCAGAAAGCAGATGAGTGGTTGTCTATTACGCATGGGGTGTAGAGGGGCAGAAGAAAGGGATCACAAACAGAGAAAAGAAAACTTGGGTGGAGGCGATGCTAATTCTCAATATCTTATTTGGAGTGATAGTTTTATGTGTAAGCCATATTAATACTTATTAAGTTAAAGCTTTTAAATATTGCCTTTGAATTATACCTCAATAAAAGCTGCTTAAAAATAACTGTTAAAAACCATTATATACCCATAGCCACAAGTAGTTGGTGGTTATTGCATTGAACAGCACAGCTCAAATGTCTATGCTGCCCCAGAACTTGGTGTCTGCGTTAGCATTGACGGGCGTGTGCTATTGTTGTAACAAGCCGTGGTCTAGTTCTGTGTCCCATCTCCTGACTCTAACCCCCCACCAAAGTGATACGTCTTATCTTCCTTAGGAAATAGCATCAATGAGCAGAAGTAACAGGAAAACATATTCAAGTTTAAAATGCTTTCCTGGTCGTCTTTACTCATGGACATATTACGCAGAGCAGAGATGAACTGATCATTTTAATATTTTATCCCTATAAAAAATGACTCATTATTATCCAGGTATACTGGTGACCATTGGTTACTAAACAACCTCACTAATCAAGAGTTTGTGATGCCATATACCCAGAATTTAAAATATTTAGTCAGTCTGCTTTTTTTCGGGGGGGGGGAGAGATTTTTGCTATAGAGTGAGTGTGCTCACAAGAAAGAGAGAGAGAGAGACAGAGATGAAAAGCAAGAAGTCAGACCCCAGGGGCATGGCCACACTGCAATCCCTTCTCCTCCATTCTCCTCTTGGGATTTTGGGCACACACCCAGTGTGAGTTTAATTAAGCCATCGGGTCCGGAACTTAAACCGCAGTTGACTACGTGAGAGTCCAGCGATATAGCCATTACACCAAATGTTGGTCCCAGTTAGTCTGCTTTAAGACAAAGTTTGTTAGAGAGAAGCTGGAAAGGCCATAGTCACAAATTCTATTTATGAAACTGTTAGGGTTTGGCTTCAATTTTTCCATATATAAAATGGGTATTCTAACACCAACCTTAGAAAATTATACTTAAGATTTAACAAGATCATGGATGCAAAGCACCATCCAAGGAACAGAGGTACTTAAAAAGATCTCCTTCCCTTATTCATCAAACTCTCGATCACAACATACACTTTCTTTCTTTACCAAGGGAAGAGCCAAGGTGAGTAGGGGACTCTCCCGTTCTTACCTGGAGCCATAGTTTGTCATGCTGAGACCACTTCCCACCAGCAATGCACTGAAATGTGGCATTCTGTCCCACATTCACCTCGACATTTTGAAGTCGCAGAAAATGAGGTGCTTTTCCTACAAGAGAAACCAAAGAATGCATGAGACTAGTATTCAACAGCCTACGCCATTTCTCTACTGGGGGATGGCAGCTCAGGATGGACACTGGACAGGGTAGAATTTGTGCCTGGGAAGTGCTTAGCTCAGGGACAACCTGACTGATCACCATGAGTCAGGCACTGTCCTAAGGGATATACACACTTCATCTCACTTAAACCTTACCAAAAAAATGAAATCCCTAAATATAGATAGGACCACCATTTCACAGACCAGATAATTAACGATCTGAGGGGTTACATAGTTTGACGCAGTCAGATATTCAATAAAGTAGTGATGTGAAGACATGACTCCTAGTCCCTGAGATCCTCAAAGTCCATCTTGCAAGGTACTGTGCAAAGCCACCCTGTTCAAATGGCATGGACATCGATTAGAATAAACCAACTGTTGACACTGGAGCTAGCACTAGATTAAAGGGGGAACCATGAAACTGAAATTCAGGAGGAAAAATTGGAGGTGGGTAAGTGGTCACCACAGAGGATATCCCTGTAGACGGGGTGAGCAGAATAAGAGAAAGGTGAGGTGAAGCCAGAGACCTGCACATTGAGCCTCGGTGATGATGCTGATGATGAAAATGATAAGGGCAAAGAGTAGAGGATGAAAAAAGGATGAAGAGAAGACAGCAGTTATCATTTGCTTAGTTAGTGCTTACTGTGTGATCACTACCATGTGCAGTAACTAACTTAACCCAATGTAGCTGGTATTGGTATTATAACAGTCCTTCTAGGGGGTGCAGAGGGATACAGTCTGAAATCACCAGTGAATGCCTGAAACTGAACTCTACATATACCACATATTTTCCTCTACAAGTATACCAGCGATAAAGTTTAATTTATAAACTAGACATAGTAAAGCAGTCACAGAAATAACTAATAATAAAATAGAATAATTACAACTATGTACTATAATGAAAGTGATGTGAATATGGTCTCTCTTTCTCTCAAAATATCTTAGAATACTATACTCACCCTTTTTCTTGTGATCTGTTAATCTAATAATTGAGATGGCTATTAAGCAACTAAATGGGCAGGTAGTATATACAGCATGGGTACCCTGGATAAAGGAACGATTCATATCCCAGTGAGACAGAATGGGACTGTGCAAGAGTTCGTTATACAACTTAGAATAATGGCACAAAATTTAAAACTTATGCATTGTTTACTACTAGAATCTTCTATCTAATATGTCTAATATGCTCAGCATGAGTAACTGAAACCGTGACATACAAATCTGCAGATAATGGAGGATTACTATATCTCCATTTTGCAGTGAATAAACTAAGACACAGAGAATTCAAGAAACTTGTCCAGAATCACAAGGCTCTAGAGTCTACGCTCTTAACTATAAATGCTAGGACCTCCTGAGAAAAGGAGAGATGGGACATTGATTCTGGGGACTGAGCACATAGGGGAAAGAACTTTCAAATAAAAACCAGTGTTCATGAGCAACCTTAGTGTGTGTTTTATGTCGGGTAACTTGAATTCATTTCTTTCCTCATTTGTCAAGTTGTTCTCACCTATATGAGTTCTCACAGTAAGAGTGGTATCAGCTCTGAAATAGGATGACAGCCTATGACTAGAAAATGGAGTTTTTTTAAATTGAGGCACAATGAAGGATCCCTACCACCATCAATGAAATCAGTGAAGAATTGGGCACAGACTACCTTCAGAATAAGAAGAAAAAAAAAAACTGGAGAGTTAGAGAGAATCAAGGAGGTTCACCAAGAGCCTTTATGGTATCTTTCCAGAGAGAATCAAATATGTAGACAGGCAAATAATAATAATAATAATCTCATTTATTGAAAGTTCTTCCAAAGCTTTGCATGCTTTATCTAATTTTATTTCATAGTATCCCTGAAACTATTATCATTTCCCTTTTAGAGAGACAGAAAATCAAGACTCAACAAATTTAATGTGCTCAAAGCTATACAGTGAGAGTAAGAGAAATAGAATTTAGCCCAGGGCCATTCTAGCCCCAAACTCAGAATTTAGCTAGCATGTTCTCTTGCCCCCTGGGCTTTGGGAATGAGGATGGTGCCACCATCGGGCCCAGTGTCCATAAAAAGGGCTCCCAGACAGGATACTGATAACTCTTCAGTGTTCTCTCAGTGCTCCCAAATGTATTTCTACAAATGATCCCTTTCCTTGCTCTCGTTCCCCATGGGCTTCACGCTTTAAAACTATCTTGTCTACCAAACTGTGTCACCACCTGTAAAGCTCAGCAAAAGCCAAGAACCTTGACATTATTAGGCAGACTTGCTGTGAGAAAACACAGACCTTCTGCTCAGGTTTTTAAATGAATGACAACAGCTTAGTGACACCTCTTGCCTCCTTTAGGATCCCATGGCTAGAGTAGTATGGAGGGTCTCAGGTCCAGGGAGGACCACTTCTTATGGGCTTTTCAGAGCTTAAGATTCTTGCATCTTGTCAACCTGACAAATGTCAGGTTGCTTTGATTGTCTGAAATTCTTTCCTTTGTGCTCTCCTGCATAGTTTTATAAAGTTATTTTTAGAACTATCAGTTCAAATCAATTATTCAAGTGGGAATAGAGTGAACCTAGTAAATCCATTTATGTCACAGGTTTAAAGAGAGAGCGAGGGACCAGCAGATGGCATAATGGTTCCATCGCTGGACTCCCATGTGGTTGAGCATGGTTCAAGTCTCAGCCCCAATGGCTTGAAATTCACGCCGGGTGCGTGTGCATGAGTGCCCCAAATCCCAAGAGGAGAATGGAGGAGAAGGGATTTTGGTGTGGCCAGCCCCAGGGGCGTGCTTTTTTGCTTTCTGTCTCTCTATCTTTCTCTCTCTCTGGCAAGTGCACATACCCCCTATAGCAAAAATCTCTCTCTGAAAAGAAAAGGGGGGAGGGAGAACATTCACTCTATATACAGAGGAGTAAAGGCTGAGCTCCAATGTTGGGAAGTTTGCATTAGGTTTAACAAAGGTACCTCTACTCTTACCCTTTGGGATATTAGGAACATGGTTTAACTCTGGGATATGTATGATTAGAAGGAGATGTTCTCTGGATCAACATTCTCTGCTTCCCTGTGACTCATCCCATTTCTCTCCCTTCCCAGCAACAGACTGTTTGCCTTGATCCTTTCATTTTCAATCTCTCACTCTCCATTCTAGGTTCAGTAGTAGAGCATTCAAATGTTTAATAGCCCCTGGCATTAATATTCTACAGAAACACTGGCAATTTACAGCAGAGATGCTAAACCCATGGGCCAGAGAGTTATTAATAAAGTGGTTCAGTTGTAAAACAAAACAAAATAAACTTTTTTTTAATCTCATCTTTCACTTTCCCACTTTTGAAAGACTTAGGTAAAATAAAGACTTCTCTATATAAGAAAAGCAACATTGCAAGCACAATAACAATTGGTATCTATCTAAAACCAGCCTCAGCATTGAGACGACAATAGGAGTAGTAGGGGGTTGGGGGAGCTGGAGAGAGACCCTGTGCCCCATGAGAGGGTCTGCTACTTAAATCCAGCAGAAGGAGGCAGGGAAAGAATGCTTGGCTCAGGAGCGTCCATCATATGATTTCTCAATGCAAATGAGATATCCAGATTTTATATGAAATCTATCATTCTAAACTCATAACTTTTTATTAAAATACCACATAGACTTAAGAGAACACATTGCTATGTAGGCTCCATCAGTTTGTAGTCTCTGACACGTAGTGCTTACTAAGCCATCTCCAACAATTCCCCCTGGCTGGTTTTGCCTGATCTGGACCCATAAATCTGCTGGTGCCCCATCCCTCCATGCACTGTACTGTGGGCATTGTGGGAACATGGGCCCTAGATTTGCAGTTCCCAGCACTGGACCTTATCTCAGCCACGCTCCTGCTCAGCATCCTCTCTGCATGCCCTTGCTTTTGTCTCTTTTCTTTCGGCTCCTGCCTTATCCCCAGCTCCTGGCAGGTCTGTGGATCCCCTTTATTTTGGTTCTCTTCTCTGGGTTGCCAGTCTCTCTGACCCCCCTTCTTCCATCCCCGAACTCCTGTCCATTCTTTAGCCATATGCCCTCTCACCTGTCACTTTCCCCCTAGAATCTGCAACTCTGGAAGAGAAAGTACTATACCAGTTTCAATTCACTGACCTTCAGTCAAACATAGTTGCCCACTATACCCAGGCCAGGCACCTTCTTGGGGCTTTAAGCACCCTCCCACTTTCTCTCCATCAAGAGCAACTATTCCCAAATGGGATCCTGCTGA